AAATTATATATTAACTAATTATACATTTTGGGGGCTTATTTCTGTAGCTTATGTTCACTGATCATTCTTTTTATTTTTCTGTCCTGTACCAATTATTTTAAATTGCTTCAGTTTTATGTGTTGAGATCTGATAGTACAAGTTTACTTTTATGACATTTTTTTCCTTGACTATGCTCATGTTTTTCTCTTTCAGGCATGCTTTAGAACATGATTGAATATGAGTATGTGGTTTAGATGTAGAATTGAGATTATGAATGGAATTGCATTGTTATAAATTAATTAGGGAGAACAGACATTTTTATAATGTTGAGCCTTCTTCCCTCAATTTGTTCAGTTATGTTATGCCCTTTGACAGGTTTTATATTTTTTAAATCTAGATTTTACATCTTCAGTATTTATTCTTGGGTATTTTATTTTTGTTGCTATTATTAATGGAATTTATTTTTCTATTATGTGTTCTAAATGATTACTTACAGCAATACAGAAAATATTTTTACATATTTATTTTTAAACCAATCATCTTCAATCTCTTATTAGTTCTTACAGTTTCTGATAGATATTTCCTATTTGAAAATATCTGCAAACATTGACAATTTTCTCATTTTGCATTTAAACACTTGATTTCTTTTTATTATATTAGTGTATTGCATTGCCTCAAATTTCAGAATGTTAAATGAGAGAGGTGACCACCATCTGATATTATTAGGGATGCCCTCAAGTTTCACTGCTATGTTACACATTGGCTATTGGTGTGAGATAGATGCTCTTTATCATGTGAGGGGAACTCTCTAATTCTAGTTTTCTTTTCTTTTTTTTTCTTGAAGAGAATAATCAATTTTATCAGATGCCTTTTTGGCATCTGCTCAGATGAGACAATCTTGACCTATTAATTGCATTCCAAGAATCAACTTTATTTAGTCATGGTTTACAGCTGTGTTTAATTTGCTAATATTTAATTTAGGAATTTCTGATTATTCATTAGAAAGATTAGGCTATAATCTTTCTAATAAAACTTTTTGATGTTTTATTATTCCAGCTTTGAAATATGAATTCAGAAACTGTTTCTTCTGCATTTTCAACAGCTTAAGTAGGATGTCATTTTCTCCCTTCATTCACAGCTACTCCAGGCACACCACGCTTATTGGCCTTGCCAGCTTTGTAACGCTTTTCCCTCTACTGCCATCATCTCATAGAGAACACTTACTCATTTCTTAAGACCCATCTCAAACATCAACACTGCTCTGTAGCCTTCTCCATAGCCTTCTCCCACCATTTCTATAGTATCAGCACATGCTTTGATTCCAGCCCTAATCCTACTATAATTTTTCCCCACTGGAGTCTGAGTTTCTTGAAGGTGGGACAGTCATGTATGCATTGTGAGAATTTTTTTTTCTGAATCTCCAGTCCTAATCACAGGACCTGGCACATAGCTTGTCCTTAATAACTCTTTGTTACATGGATAACAGTTTTGCTTTAAACTATGCCAGTGAAAAATTTCAAAGAGGTATGTGATGCTTCTTTGCCTTTCTTTGACGATAAAATAGAGATAATAATCACTCACTGCCGTTCTGCACACTTAGTAGAGTTACTATGCTGGGATAAATAGATATGAAAAGATAAAGTGAAGGAATTAAGTACACAATAGTGATTAGACTTTCTTTGGTATTAATAATAGGTAATGTTTTGAGCAGGTATGGAATTATCAGATGTATTTCTCATAATAGCCCTATGAAGTCGATAGTGTTATCTCAATTTTGCATATGACTGATCTGAATGTTAGAGTGCTTAAATAACTTGTCTGAGGTCAAACAACTGGCAAGTCTTGAAGCCAGAACCTACAGCAGATTTTCTGAATTGAGTCCATCATCTGGAAGCGACTCTCTGTTGACTCATCAGTAAAGACAGTGTGTTCCAGCTGCGTGAGAAAAGCGACAAATAATACGCAAAGGGTGAAGATTTGTTTAAATAATTATTTCCCAAGTTCTACCTAAGTTTAGTGCACAATAGGAAGAAAAACTATTGAATATCTACCTGTTTGACTTCTGTATCATTTGTCATTTGTCTTTTGAGGGTTCCTTTAGTTTTAGTTGATGCTGTGGTATTGATTTATCACATATCACATAAAAGGATAAACATGGGCTGTGTAATAATTGACCACTTTTCTGTTTCCTTCTTTGGAGGTCTGAAAAGACACTTTCCTTTAATAACTAAATTCCTAGACTTGTGAGCTCATGGCTGTGAGTTACAGGTGAGTGATCTTAACCTATAATGTGAAATGAGACAGCCTTCAGGGTTCTCCCCACCCCTAAAAGGAAGGCGTGGTAGAGCTGCTAAAAGTATAGTATGAAGAAGGACAGTTTAGAATTTTACTGTTGACAGTATGCCAGCCCTGAATGCTGCTCATTCCATCTCCAACCAGTTCCTGCTTCTTCCCCACTCCAGGCTGCGACCCCAGCATGAGTGATAGAAGTAGCAAGAGGCTGTTCAGAAGATTAAAGACCCAAGTCACCAGAGGCTGCTGTCTCGCAAGAATATTTAGACGTTTTCCGCTTGGCAGTCATTCATACTCTCCAGCAAAGGATGAACAGAAAACCTGTTCAAAAAGTTTCCCTCTTCGGATCTCTGTACCTTGGAAGATAAAGTGAATGCGTGGGTTTTGTTTTAAAATTAAATATTCATTGGATTGGGTTAGAGCTATTACTGTTCTGGAGAATAAAACTAGATTTTTCCTTTGTTTCAGAATAACTGTAGTCATTTCACTTAAGAATCAATTTCTGTACTGAATCAGTCAGGGTAATGCATGGTATGATTTTGTAATATAATAGACACAACTTGGAATTGAATACAGAAAGACTCAAAGTATTTTATAGAGGGTGTGTGAGCAATTTGACATCACAGAAACTCCGCAGACAGAAGCAACCAAGGAGTGGAGGAAAGAGACTTGGGAACCAGACCCTGGGAACTGTGACAGCCTCTGGGTGAGCTCTTTGGCTCTATTGATTGATAGCTGTTTCATACCATCTCTGAGTTTCAGTTTCCTAAGCTGTAAAATGGGGAGCATTTTCTCTCAGGATTTGTGTAAGGATTTAGAAATGATAGTTGTGAGTGGCACATCTAGAGTAGGAGCACAAGAGTGGCAGCTATTATTCGTATTTCAACATAAATATTGAGAACTGGTCACTAAAAAACTTAAACGCCATTTACATCTTTCTTTCTTTTTTTTTTTTTTTAATCTTTCAGGCACCACTGCTCACATTACCCTTGAATTTAAACATCTTTTAAAAGCTTTCAAAGCTTTGAAGGTTGATTTCAAAGAAACCTGTTTTTATTCTAGGCGTTTTTCCTACTGTCATTCTGAGTAAAACAAAAACATTTACTGTCAAAACACGGGTTTGCTCTCAAGCACAAAATGAAAGCAGATATGTCTGCCTGATTTATTTTGGCATTCGCCTAGCAGTTAAATAGGACACCTTTTAATTTGTCACTTCTTTAAGATGCACTTAGGTTGGAAAAGTAAATCACCAGTGCATGGTTTCAGCTAACCTTGAACTAATTTGGGCAAAAAAATGTATTCTTTATTCCTCTAACATACGTCCTTTCAAAAGTGTCAATTAAAGAAGAAAATATTTAGCAAATAGTTTAAGATAGTAACACCTGATAGATTTTTCTTTTTACTTTAAACTAGAGGCAGTTAGAAATCTAACTTATTACCAAAGACCAAAAACAGGTCTGGGAAGAGGCATAGGATGATAATGCTTTTCAACAAGCCAACACAGAACTATTTAAAATAGTGAATAATCAAGTATTTTTAAGAATAAAAATCAACTATAATAGATTCAAAATTCAAATCTCAACTCTATCAAGTCATTTGATCTCTCCGATCTCAGTTTCTTTATCTATAAATTGGGAATAATATCTTTCTGCTCCATGTTGGTTAGAAATTAACAGAGGTAATGGACATTAAGCATCCAGCACCTCTCAGGCACATACTAGTTGCTCAACAAGTGTGAGCCGCTGTTGTTATTTAGAAGAGCTTGTGTAACATTTCTTAGCAATTCAATACAGGAATGAGCATTTCTTATTGTATGAAAGTTGTTTCTCCTATCTGTCTGAAATTTATTTTGCTGGAATCTAAGCCCATTTTCTCATTTTTGAAAAGTTGGCGATATCTGTTTAATACTTTCTGCATAATGAGGCCAGATTAAGGGCGTGTATTTATGCAATCGTTATATAAGCACTCCTAAGCAGAGGTTTTTTTTGGCATCTCAGTGACCTAACTGTAATCTGTAATCTGAATGATTATTGGATAGACAAACCGATTTAGTAACAAGAGTATATGGAAATGACACATATACACACATATATACATACACTCATAAATATATATGCATATGTAAACATGTATACATTTTTTTCAGTTCTTCCATACGTGTATAAGTCAAGGTCCAGCTTTAGACTTCATGTTTTTGTTTTTTTTTTTGTTTTGTTTTTGTTTTTAGGTGTGGAGTTTGTGGAGAATGTGAAGGAAAATAAATGCTTTCTTGTTTGGGTCCCTTAAAGCAGCTGAGCTTGAAATAAACTATGGCGAACTCTGAGAGTTGAGAATAATCTTGGTTTAACAACCAACGGTTTAGCAGGTTGTCTTTGTTTTTGTTTTAAAGGAGAATTCGCAAATTCATAGGGCTAGTCCTTGAGTCTTTCCCAGCTTTGAAAGCCCCATGCTAAATGTGGTCCAAACACCACACCTACACAGAGTGTGCTTTTTCTGACACCATCCTCCTCGTTCTTCTTTGTTGTGGCTGATTTTCCAACCATATCAAGTGCCCGAATTCAACTGAAGACAAACTGATTCAGCTCCTCACAGAAGCTTTCTTTTTCTGGCCCACTGCCAGGAAAACAGGCCTTCACCTGGTCAGATGGAAGCTTTGAAACAATTTCCTCTTCCAATCCCTTGCCTGAATATCCAGCAGAAACTTGTGGAATAAAACCAGGCTAAACTATTGTTCTCAAACATGTTTATTTTTAAGTTTTACATGGTGTGTTACAGAAATTAATGGAAAATTTCTAAAAATTTTGCTGTTCTGTTGAATGCATTGTACATAAAGTTAAAAATAATGTGTCCATATATGTTAACAAACTGTCATCTGAGGTAAAGTTAAAGTAGGTCTAGAAATGTACTGCAACAGTCATTTTCTCTTTCTCATCTTTATTAAAAAAATATGTGTCAGAACACAGAAATTGAAATGAACCAAACCCACAGAGTAAACATTTTTTTTTTTTTAAAAAGAAGGTGCCCGGTACATTACAGGATGGGGTTTCAGCAGACACTGGGATGAGTACGAATTATCAACAAAGTGTTGAGGCATGTAAAGATTGAAGAGCTATGGGGAATGGGGACAGAATGACAGGTGGCATTTCCCTGGTTTCAAAATTTAAAGTGACAAATTTAGTGCTAGTGAAGGATGAGAAATTAACAGCTATACACATGGATTTTTTTTTTTATCGCTCTAACTGGAACTGTGCAGACTCCCCATGGCCTTTTGGTATTGGCACCCCAGCTTTTATTTGGAAATTTCACTGTACTCCTGGGATAGCTACTATGGTTCTGAGCTCACTAAACAGTGCTTGTTAAGAATCAGAATTCTGCCAGTGATAACATGGATGGCAGTTTAAAATGTTGAATTTACTCCCTCACTTGAATGCATCACATGGGCATCTTCTTTAACTTCAGAGCCAGTTACATTTTCAATCACATTCAATGAATGATAAGTCCACCGAGCTGTCACTTTCTGCTATAAAATTAACTCTAGACAGCGTACCTGAAACAGCATCAGCCAGAGTTCACCTGGAACGTGTCAGAAGCAACCCAAAGGATCAGTATAACTTGTGATACTGCAAGACAAACTCAAGAAGGCCAGATTGAGGGAGAAGATAGCACCACTTGTTTTTGAATCAGAATCATGGACAACATAGTAATTTAAGCCATTTCCCCAGGGGAACTGCCTATCGTATCAAATCCCCCCCCAAAACAACCAAACTGATTTCAGGACAACTCTTAGGGTTGTCATACCTTTCCCATTTTCCCCTTTCATGTGAAAAGATTACCTAATCATACAATGTATGCACTTTCCTGAAAAAATCATGTGGACCAACAGGTGACAGCTACAGAGGGAGGTAAATGGCCCTTCTCTCTTTTTAGATCTTCCGCATTAGGATGACATTTACATATATTCTGTAATGGACATTTGGTCAGGTTACCTAATGGAAAATATTTTATTCAGAGACCTGTGTAAAATTTGGGCTTTGAACGGTAACAATCACTTTGACTTATCAATTTTCTCTTTGTGAGCAGGTATACCTTCTTCTAAATCATTTTAGTTCCTATTCATATGAAGAAGCAAAGTACCCAGGCCTATTTAAGTTAATCACATATCAACTCTAATTTTCAAATTTTCAAACCAGGTAATGGTAATTACCCTCATATCTAATTAATCACATGATTCTTTAAAGTTTCCTTTTTAGTGTTAAACCACTAAATTCGACATACTATAACTGCATAGGAACATCAAGAAAACACGTTTGACCTGTAGAACAATTCTCTGTAGGGCAAAAATATATAGATTTTTTATGAAAATCATGTGCTAAACGTACGAACCGAACACTGCACTTTTTGTCTCATAAATGTAAAAAAAGGAAGCTTAAACTCTTCTGTTTCACATACAAACAGTCCAGTGATTTCTATGGGAGTAGGTGAAGGTGGAGAGGTGGGAGAGAGGTTTAGTCTGAAGGACAGTCCTTCAAAACGTGAATTGTCTTTTTCTGGTTTTACGCAGAGGGCGGGTACTCTTGTGGAAAGGCTAGATTAGATATGGAGTCACATGCTCCCTTTCTGTTCACTAGCTGCTGATTGGCCAACTGCTCCTGCCAGCTGTCTCTGAACTCCAGCTTCCTACCATATGTTCCACATAACATCTGGAAAGCGAGCCCCATCCATCAAGTTTGTCACATCTTGCACTCAATCTGCTACCTTCTCTACAGTGTAATGGCATTAAAAAGCATTTTCATTAACATTTATATTTACAAAAAAAAAAAGAACTGGCAATTTTTCATTAGAACTCCTTAAAGCCATTTCCCTTAAATATTTAAAGAGTTTAATGGTAAGGTTTTTTTCAAATTATAAAATAAAAATTCCTTTTGAATTTTCTGATGTACAAAAAGAGATAGAGATGAACCATTGTGATCACAGAATCAGTTTGTTATTCTGAATATTTATGTCACCATTGTTCCATTAGGAAGTCAGTTTTTAAGATCCGAAACCACATTACCAGGACTGTAACAGAATTATTTGGCAAATGACTTTTCTTTGCAAATGGCACGTGGAGAAGACACTTGTCTGCATAGCATCACAGCAGCAAGATATCGGAAAAATAAAAAATATCATTTTATTGTACTTAGAATTTAGAGCTTCTTAGGAAATCGGATGCAGTTTTCATCTTTCTCATCAATGGGATTTGACGTCCTTTACTACTCACAGAATGAAGGTTCAAAATGAAAGCTGTCTTTCTTCACCAGGATGCAGAAATAGCTAAAGGGTTGTTTTGGCAACATTCTTGATCATAAAGAATAATCAACCACTTATTTGTCTTGTGATTTCAAGTTAACTCATTTCATATGAGACTTTTTTCCAGTTAGATTTCTTCATTAATATCTAAAAAAAGTCAAAAGCAATAAAAAAATTTGTACACCCATTAATTTTCAAACATGACAAAGGAAGGAAAGGGGAAAAATGGCAGACCAGAACCTGTGGCGTGATGAAAAAACATCAGCATATGTCAAAAGACATATGGATGAGGAGACTGTAGTCACAGAGGACCTCTCGCTTTGCCTAAAAGAAGTCAGTGCCAATCTTTGTAACTCTCTGAGGCCTGTCACTCCATTGGTCAACAGGTAGAGAAATAAAAAGAGAATTAAGATTTTGCATACTGGGTCATCTGAAACGCACACTAAGAGAGCTCAGAATATTTGTTGGATAAGTATTTGCTTGATTTGTGGTTTAACGTTGGGTATGATTTTGTTATACTTTTATGCTTTTTTTTTGTTTTGTTTTTGTGCTGCCATAGATATCTACTGTTGGTTGCCAAAAACTCTGAGTTCCCTCTTCCAAATGAGTTCCATTGGGCAATAATGAGTTTCTTCGTGGGATGAGGTGAGTTGAAAGAATACAAGAGAGCCTATTGTAATGCTGATTTCCATGCCAGTCTTGAAGCACCCGTCACGAGCCCGCATTGATGCTGTTTCTTAGGTCTGTTGATCTGCGTATAGAGAGGCTCCAGCTCCTATGGATAGAGGGACAAAATGAGACCTGCTCTTTTCTAGATAGGAATTTCTGAGACAGCTTGGGAAGGAGAATTTGGGATTAGAACAGAAAGGTGACAAGATATGATGGATGACCTTAGGTAATTTTTGGATTATTGGATCATGATGCATAACATTTGGGCAACTTTTTTTTTTTTTTTTATCATCAAGGAGAACTACTCACCCAGGCATTTGTCCTTGGTTTTCAAGGGAGACTGATTGCCCTTGTTAGAGAAATAGCATGGCATAGTAGAGAGAGCTAGAGAAGCTGTGTGATATGGGCAAGATACTTAGCTTTTCTGAGACTCAGTTTCCCCAACCATGAAATGGGAACAATACTGTTCATCTTACAGGGTTTTTGAGAGAATTAGAGATAATATATATAAAGCATCTAGCACAGTATTTGGCAATAACAGGTCTTCAGAAAATGGTAACAATTATCATGAGTCAAGTGGAGATTGTTCCAACAGTTTTATGAATGTCCACTTGATATTGCTGAAATTTTACTTCAATCTGCTCTTTGGTTTCTCCATGTAGTGATGACAGAGCATACTTTAGAGCAAGAGAAACAGGAATTGTGCCATTAGCTCTTAGTTAAAAGCTTCTGGGACTTGTTTCCATTCAATCTGCTGTTTCAGGTTTGGCCAGTCCTTTGCCTGCACCTACGAGGCTGCACTAAGACATACACAAGGATTTTCACTAGTACATGATATAGCAAACCTTCAATCCAAATGCAGATGGTAAAAGGTGTTTGGCCTCATTGAAACCATTTCAGGACTCCAGTTTACATTGAAATGGCCCAAGATGCACTGGCCAAGCAGATCAGATCAATACTCTGGTCTTAAGCATACATAGGCTCTTCCATTAAAGTTGACCTTTATGCTGTTTCTCTTGAATGTTTGTGCCAGAATTATATCTTAATTCTGTCATATTTTATATATTAACCTGCCTCCTGCCATGTGACTATTAGTTGCTTCTTTTTTTGGACCACCAGATTGAACCTATGTGTCTAGCACAACGCTAGGTATTTTCAAGTACATTGTCTTTTTAACTCATCACAACAGTCTTGTAAGTTAAATGATGCTTTATCTCTTTTGCAAATGAGAAATCAAGCACAGAGAGGTTAAGTAATTTGCTCATAGTCACACATCTTGTAAGTTTGGGACATGAGACCTAAAAATAGGGTCCAGTGCTTTTTCTAGTGTACACAACAGCTGCCAAAAAAAAAAAAAAAAAAGAAGAAAAAGAAAAAAGGTCAACTCTTTAATCTGTAGTGTTGTAGAGTGCTTTAAAGTTCATAAAGCTCCCTCATGTTTTATTTTATCTGCTTAACAGTCCTGGGAGTGACTTGTATTGTTCCATCCTCGTTCTGAGATAAAAACTGAAGATCAGAGAGTTTTTTTTATGGGATCTCAAGGTCACTGTGCCACCTCTCATGTATTCAATATATCATACTGCTTGTCTTTATTGTAAAGTCAGAACAGACTAGAAGATAACTTTGTCCAGATCCATCATTTTACAGATGAGAAATTTGAAGCCCAGAGAAGAGAGCTTTTGTTTCTCCAGAGTCACAAGGTTACTAGCAGCCATGCCATGAATAGGATCCAGGACTCCTACCATCAGATCCAGGATGTTTTCTTCTAGAACTCGTTACGTTTGTATTCTCCCAGGGAGAAGGAGCTTCCTACCCTTCAGGCACCCTATTCTGTTACATAACTGAATGTCAATTGGTCCCTCCATACTTTCCATCTATGGGACTCCATACTACCTTTAAAACCTAAAGAATAAGTGTAATTCTTCTTCCAAATGTCCAATAACAGAAAGCATAGAAGCCTAGTCTTCCACACCCTGCTTCCGGTTACCGCCCGCCAGTTCCTTTTGCCATTTCACATATGTGAAACTAGCACTGTCAAGGCTCAGTAAAAGTTTGCTGAATTAGTAAATGACTACGATACAGTTTCTACATTCTTTACTATTCTGATCCCTTTGTCCTAAAATCACTCCAGTTCAGCTTTATTCTCTCAAATTCTAATCTAGCAAAATCTATAGCAAGATGATTTATTAAGCACCTAAACTATTCTCAGCTGATGTCTTGAAATGTTTCGAATAGGTGTTGTACAGGCTTATAAAGCCTGTAACTCTCCTGTGTTTGTATTCTGGGGTGGATTGGGTGGAGCCAAGGTGGAGTTAGTTATAAAGTGCAAGCACTGGGAAAAACCATTTTCTTTGCCTATGCTGGGCTACAAGATGCATCTTAATCTTCCCCGGGTAGACTTCCTCAGCCCACTCTTCTTTTTGGATGCCCTAAGAAGTCAGGCTGCCTTGATCTCACCCTACAATTTGCTCTATTCTAATTTTGGAAACTAATTTATTCAACTGAGAATGACACCTAAAAACAGAAGAAGACAGCAGGCTCAGACAGGGTAATTAATGCCACACTGCATTAACTTTCTGCAGCTGAGATAAATATTCACACATCTCCTGCTTGCCGGAATTTAGCCTCAAATCCCCATCACAACAGTAGTAACGAGTGCAGTCAACTCTCAATTATCCCCACTAATGAAGGGGAGCAGTGGTGTGGAAAACCCCAAGCAGCAGATAATCCCAAAGTCTGACACCGTGATGCATTATCCGTTTTGGCAATAGCTCTTCCTTTCTTGTTACCAAATCTTAGAGCTCGAGGGGAGCTAAGAAATCATTTGATCCAGAAATTTCTGACCTGACTTCTGGCAAGGTCACAGTGGGGTCTTCAGGCTGTTTTCGATATTCCAAAATGTTTAAATGGTATCACACATTAATACAGCCCGCTGGTGATGTTTTTTGTTCTCTGGGCAGATCTGACCACATCTCTGCTCTTCTTCAAATCACTCAAAGGCTCCCCATTACCCACAAGGTAAGGTCAAAGCTTCTAGCTGGGTGCACAAGACTTATTAGTCTTATAGTCTATTAGAGCTAATAAATGCCCCTTTCAGACTGTGACTCAAAACTCAACTTTCAGGTCACGTATATCAAGCTTTAAAAAAGAGATTTAATGCCTCTGCCGGAATAATCTTTCTGAAATGGATTTGGTCATGCCAGTCTCCCGCTTGAAACGACCCTCCTGACTCCCGAGGACAACGCAAACTCCTCAGGATGGCACACAAGGCCCTCCCAACATGGCTGCACCTGCCCATCCAGCCCTGTCTACTTCCTCCCTCTCCTATGCCCTACCTTCCCTACTCTGCTTCTGGTCAGTCTGACATGACAGGACTTTCCCATCTCTGGGGCTCTGCTCAGGCAGTGCCTTCAGGTCCTCTCTTTGTTTTGCATCTGAGAGTTCATACTTTCAGAACCAGCTCAAGTATAAAGGCTTCTTAGACTCTATAGTGCCCTGTGTAGACCTCCTTCTACACTGCCATCATGTCATTCCCTAAGTACTTTCTACACAGTAAGCTCCACTGCACCTTTCATGTCAGTATCTCAAATTCTGAGCGAAAGCTTGGAACATGGGAGGCACAGCTGCTAACAACATGGAGAATGAGGATGTGGGTGAATGAATGAATGGTTCTTCGCTTAATGGAAGCTAGCAAATACTCACGAACTTTAAGCTCACCTGTGATTGACACAGTACTATCTTCTAGAGAACAAAGTAGACGGAAAACCAGACAATGCAAATGAAAACAAAATCAGCCCCCCAAACTTTGACTTAAATTGAATACCCTATTTTCTGGGAGGCTCGGTGAAAGAATGAAAGCACACAGATTTAAAATCAGGTAAATCTAGGTTAGTATTCCCGCTGCCAATCTCCTGCAGCCAAAATTCACCAGGAACACACTTGCAGTTGAACAAGTTGGGTTTATTACTCATTGAAGCAAGGGGAGCCATGAGCATCTCTCTAAGAGGGTTTAAGAAAGTGCTTATTCCAGGATTTGGATTACGTTAGATAATTTGGGGGAAGGTAAAAAAAAAAAAAGTGAGGTTTTTCTCTGGGTTGGATGCTCTTAGGAAGAGGGAGTATGATCATTTTAAAAAATCTTATCTCGAGGGCAGAAAGAACAGAGCAAGGGTGAAGCCAGGAGAGAAGACTGTTTGGTCATGTATATAATGTGGACAACGTTCAAGTTTTGCCTGTGCTCAGCCATGGCTACAGAATGGTTTTGATTTGTCTTGACCCATCATGGTCACAGAATAGTTCTGTCTGATGCTGATGTTCTGTGAACCTGTTTATGTTCACAGAACCCCAAAGCCTAGCTGTGAGGGCTGGGCTGGTTCCTGGCTGTCAGGCCACTGTTCTTTCTTACTGTTACCCAGTTAGTAACCCTAGGACTCTGTGAAGGTTACTTAACCTCTCTGAGCGCCAGTTTCCTCATCTGTAAAATGAGGCTAGAATTCTTCTCTGTGAACGGTGTAGTGAGCATTCAAGGAGAAAATATATGTTGATTGTATAGCACAGAGCCTGGCACAGAGGAGGTACCCCCAAAAAGGTTAGGTCCCTTATGTCTGGGCATGTGGCTTTATCTTTCCTTTACAGAAGATGGTTTTAGGCTTCATAATCACCTATAGGTGGTTTTCCAAATTGCTTCTCCTTCATAGCACATAGGCAATGGAGCTCTGTTATGAAATTTAATAACGGTGCTAGATCAGCCCCAGGGAAACTGCAGAAAGAATGTGGGGTTCACCTAAAGAATCTGGTTGCAGGGACCTCTGGATAACTAAGGCTGCCACATTTGCAGACAACTTTAAGTATGAATTACGTGCTTACGTCCAACAGTCAAGCAGAATCACAGACTTAGAGATGAACTTATATTTATTTACAGAAATGTTAGCAGTCTGTAAAGAACTTTTCTGTATCACACACATGATCTCACTTGGGTGTCACACTGTGGCTGTGCCCTGGACTTTCTTATCTCCATTTATAGGGAAGAAGCCTGGCTCCCCAGAGTCTGATGACTTGCCCAAGTTCACACAGCCAGCACAGGGCAGGGCTGACATATAACTAGGT